CTGCCACTAGCAGGCAGCTCTGTCTGTCCTGCTTGGGTCCCTTGGTCTGTGAGGGTACTGCCSGTGCTGTGGTCACCTTTAGCCCCTAGTGTGTCCCCCAGCTTCTTAATTAAGTCATCACTACATTATGACTGTAATAATAATAAATGTCATATTATGATGTCAGACTGGCAAAATGATGGTTAATATGCCAAGCCCAAAGTTCTGGCATAGTGCAAATAATTTAATTCCATATCCAAAGGATGAGCGTTTAGCGTGTGTCTTAGCACTGCTAGCCTAAGCTCTGAGCCCATTCYATGGTTTTGCATTTAGTTCCAGAGGGTAATCAAGATGGAACCTGTTAAGTTAGCATTTATGGAAACATGTTACAGAAAAATGAGGTAAAGCTCTTGCAACAAGCATTGCTTGTGCAAGTAAAGAGGTCATAACACCCYGTAAGTCTCCAAGAGGCAGGAGTCTGCTCTGGGATCCCCAAGCAGCCTTTGTGTAAGCTTGTGTGCCAGCTGTATGGCTGCATTAACTGTTGGCGCCCACTTATTGTCATAAAGGCTTTTGTATAATTTTCTTCTAATAAAAACCKAACTATTGCACAACCACTTTTAGTCTTTTTTTCTTCTGCTATAGAAGATCAATCAAAATTACTGGTAGTAAGCTCTTCAAGTTTCATACCTCTAACCCCAGAATGCTCTTATTCTGTTTGCTTGCATGTACACAGCTGTTAGGAAAGGTGAAGAGGTGAAGTGTCTATCTGTGAAGGCAGAGCCTTGTTGTGTTAAAGATTGGCCCGATAGCTGCCAGGCCATGGATTTGTAAATAGTCAGACTAGAAGGTCTCTTCACTCCAGCTGCAAACTCTGCTCGATACCAGTACTACCCCTTGTGTGGGGAAGGGTATTAAAAACTGGCCCCTAAAAGCAACAAAGGAAATAGGAATAGGACAGAACAGCATCCATATTATCCTCGCTATGTTAAGTAATCAAGAAAATGTTGGATGGGGGGTGGAAGGGCACTTAAGCATATCAGCACATATCCCACATGTCAGTAGCATGTGGTAATACATTGGAAGAGCTCACATCATGTCTCGATGGTTCTGTAACACATTACATTAATATACTTGGAGAATTCTCTGCGAGAGAAGTTCTTAGAGTCAATGGAGCATAGACTTGCTTTGAACAGACTGGTGCTCCCCAGTATGGTAAGGGTAACAGGAATGCAGCCTACTCCAGATTCTAGCACTTTGCCCTCAAAGACACTGATAGCCATCAAAGCCATCTCATCTCCTCCTTTGAGAGAGGGGAAAAAAAATCAGACTGGARGGCCAAAGGAACCAAAAGCCTTCAGTCACTCTGAATTATGCATGGATTACATATTTCAAGCATGTGGCAACTGGCTTTGCTGAACTCTTTTGAGGGTAAGAAAAAAATCTGATTGCTCAGGAAAAAACAGCATGCTGTTTGTCCTGCCTTCTCAAATCACTGAGAAATTAATCCAGAATAGGAGATAGGTACTCCAGAATTAGGTGGAAGAAAATACTAATGCTTTGGGTCTTTACTAATCTCTTAAATGAGGTAGACAAGTTGTATGGTTGTTGTAAGGGAATTACTCTGATATATGCAACTCAACACATAGCCTTAATCATTTTCCATACATGTCATTGGAAAAATGCATATTTCTACTACAGGATCATCATCCAAGTGCTATATAACCTGCCTGGCTTTTTTTTGCTTGTTTCCATATGATGGGTTCACAGGGGTCCCACAATGGGTGTTATGAAGYGGCCTCCATTCAGCTGCCTGAGTTCTGGAAATATTTCTTATGATCTTTAATAGTCATTTCTTTCTGATGTCATGTGGAGTTGGGAAGCTCRAATGGTTTTCATTCTTCTTGGCAAGAACTGAAGAGTTGGGTGTTTTGCCCAAGTGATGGTGTTCAGAAAGGGGATGTTCCAGGAACCCAAGTCTTGATGAGAGTTGGATTACCTTAGAGCCAAACCCTACTTGGGCATGTGTGGGGAGAAGCTCTAACACAAAGGTTAGGACAGGTTCCTTACTTGGTGCTGTTTCCTTCCCAGGCCTGTTTTCTAGAGGGACTCAGTTTAAATGCAGTAACATCAGGACCTTCTCCCCAAGGCTCCCGCCTGTGTGAACATTTCATTTTCCTGGGTCTTAGTTATCCTAGAAAACCAAACTGGAGCAAGATATTTGAAAAACAGCTTTTCACAACTCTTCTGTGGCACCATGTAGCCAATCTCTACTACAGCTGCTGATGGTGGGAATTGTATTGCTGATGAGGTACTTCAGCACAGCCAAAACAACTTAAAATCTGCAAGAAACCTCAGCAGAACTTTAGTACTCTGCCCTTTTTTTTTCTTTTGTGGGGTTTGCATTCATCCTGTACTCTTAACCAAACAAAAATGCTTTCTAATCTGACTCTGTATTAGGAAACGTAATGGAGCTTTCAAGCTAACATGTAGGTTGTGTTACGTGATTCTTTTTGCCCCAGAGTCAAAGGTTGCCTTTTCATTGGGAATGACCAAAGGCAAGGGGCAGACAGATGTTTCTAGTGTTCTCTGAGCTAATCTGRCTAGTTAGAAAACGTTTTTTTTCTTTTGAGTGAATAATTTACTTAGTCTTTCACTTCAAATAGAATAAGAGAATAGGCTAAGACGTGCAGAGTGGATAGTTTTGGGGGGAGAAGGATGCAACTAATGAAGGGCCTTAGAAAAACACTTTAGTCTCTCTGCTGCTTCACCCTCAGCTTCTACTGTCCAAGGTCTGTAGGAGTTGCAGATACTTGCAAAAGCTTAGGCTTGCAAAAGCTTAGGCTTGGGTGTTGTTCTGTCATGGCTCTTTAGCCTTCAAATATTCTCAGACCAACTTCATTCATAATGAAGACTTTTTACTTAAATTATATCAATTGCTTGTTAAATCCCGTGGGGTTTTTCTTGGTAGGAAATAAATACACTTGAATTTGCTTTTCTACCATACTCTGTGTCAGATCTAGACTGAACTAATAAGGTCTGAAGCTGTTCTCATTGTGAACACTGAGAAAACTTAAACTGTTCCTCTGGAACAACCTGGAAATCTCTTTTACTTGCCTCAGGGCCTGTGAATAAATGGCARACTGTAATTGTTCGTACAGTTTCTGGTGGGGTTTTGGACTCTTAAATTACTTGGGATGGCATGGTTTCAAGCACTGCCAAGTTAAGTGCTGCTCMTGTTTCATATCCTCATTCATATTTCTCATTCAGTGGCATTTTGCCTTAGGCTGTGAAATCACTGCTTTCATTTCCCTTAGTTATTTGTTTCTTATTCTCCTCCCAGGCTCTGGAAGGAGGAACCCTGTGGCCCTGTCCTCAGAGGAGGAGGTTGCTAGAAAAGGGGCATCAGGCTAGAGAGGTTCCTCAGAGCTCTTGCTCCCATGGCTGACCTCACTTAGGCCACATGAACTTTTGGTTGTGTTGCCAAATAAAATGGCACTAGATATTATGCCAAGCTATGAAAGCCAAGTTTTTCTGTTATTTTTCTCTCTTGAGGTAAAATGATAGCTTGGATAAAGAACATAGAGAAGGTTTCTCTGCCAGTATTTCAGAAGTGGTATTTAAAGACTCGCAGTTCTGAGCAGACCACAGAAAGATTTACGTTATGGTGGTTGTAGCTATTTGTCCTTCTGTCGACCCTTCCTGACAGATGCCCGGATCCATAGAAGAATGAGTGTCCATTACACCCCAGCCATGACCTGCCCCAAACAAACACCAACACTATTAAGTTATCTCTGTATTGATATTGGATTTTGCACTTGCACTGAGTAGGATTTTCCCAGGAACACATAAATTTCTGACATAGAAAAGACATCCATAAATGCCAGAAATTTCTGGAACTTCGCTCTACCAGGAGACCCTGGAGATTCAGCAATTGAGCTKCTCTGGGCCAAGTGATATAACTTGGTTTTTTCCATCTCCTTTTTGGTTATAGGAGTCATTTCCCTACTTCCTCTGACTTTGAGGGAGGCAAGAGTAAATTTTCCAGCTTCTAGTACTCTGTTCCAAAGCTTAATGCAAAATACCTCAATTGTTTAATCTTTCGGGCAAGGTGCACTGGTTAGTATATTAACTAGCTATGATCAGCAAATACTCCTTGGGTGCAGGCTCATATATCCTTTCCTATATCCATGTACAAATATTTACCCTATGGGGAGACTCAAATCTGCTCAGGTCTTGATTTTATATATATATATATATATATAAAACTTAGTCCAGTAACTTATACCAATTATAGTATATTGGCCTATTATGGTCTACAATCGCACTTTCATTTTTGGTAGTATTTAGTCAGTGTCTAGATAGCTTCATATTCTCTTGAGGGGCAGAGGGGAAATGTAAACGCAGTTCAATATATAGCCTTAATCTTGCATGTCTGCCTGTGTGTGGGTACATATTTACAGAGAGGGTATTTGTGTATTTTATACCCAAACAGCAAAAATCTGCAAAACCAGTGTTTTCAGCTGTTTCAAGCAGCAGATATCACATTGGTTTAGACTGCTGGGGTTGGTTTAAATGTCAGTTATCCTCTCTTCTTCAAAAGCAAACATGACAATTAGGGCTGTAAATGAGATATGTGAGATGGCTTGAGAGGGGAGTCAGCTACTATACTTACCCACAAAAGAATCCTCAAATTCTGGGGTTAGTTCTCAAACTATGCTGCTTTTCTTTCTTTGCTCCTTTTTAAGCCTCATATTCCTCTAGCTATAGTTCAAAAACAACAGTGGAATTTAAATCCTCTACAGTCATTCATGTGTATTTCCCACCAGAAAGGACCAGAAGATCAGAACAGTGATTCAGTCTCTTCCAAGGTGGGACTCAAAGGCAAGTAGATCCCCACACCTGCCTGGCCAAACCTACTCTTTTTAGCATTCAGGAAAAGACACTGAGGAAGACCCAAAAGGCAACTTCTTTCTAATCAAGCTTGTTAGGTAGCAATAAAGAACATATAAATTATCTAAAGTCTCCACCGTAATTCAGTTATTCCAGATAGCCATCTGCACATGACCACAAACAATGTTCCTGGTGTGAGGCAACTGGATTTCTAAGGTRTAAATCAAAAAAACTAATTTACAAGCCACCATCAAAATGTTGCTGGATATCATGCTGGTTTCTCTCCTTCTGTTACCTGAGCGCACTGGAATCTTCAGGAATATTTTAGATTTGTCAGATGTGAAACCTGCAAGTCTGAAATTGAATTCAGGTAGGTGCTCAAGTCTTAAACTCAAGATAATACTGCAGATGTTTATTGACACTACCTGTGCTTTGACTGACTAAACATTATATTTGAATACACATTTTAGCAAGTCCAGGAAGAAATARGGATGATGTTTCTAGGGCTTTGTCAAACATTTTGAATGTAAMTTATGCAGAGTTAGTCTTCCTATGTGGCCAGGTGATAAGTAAAGTTTAATAATATGCCATTTAAATAGTTAGTTGAAAGATATTTCAACATAGCTGCTTTTCCAGAGGCTTATGYAGTAATAGACTGAAGTCAGAAATGTGACTGCAGTAGCAAGTAGGGGCATCAGACAGTGCAAAGATCAACTAAGAGATGAGTGGCCATAAATCCTGTATAAATGGGGAACAGCTGTATAAATATTTTTGAATAGGGTCTTGCTGGTAACTTGCACATCTTTGTTCCTCTGCCTGAATATTTGCCATCTTGGGGGGTTCCTCAGGGAACTGCAGCATCTCCTCAGCTGCCCAAAAGCTGCAGCCCATTCATAAGGACTACTGCATTCTAAAACCATGGTTTGAGCTAAGACAAAGCAACATACTAGTAACCATTCATTGTGACATTTAACTTGTAGTTCATGTTATGAATTCATATTGTGTGTTTAGAATTGAAGCTTAAGACAGAAGCAGAGGCTGGATACTGTAGGAAAGGAAATGGGTCTGGTGAAAATGAGATGCAGGGTGAATAGGAAAAAGTATATTTAAGTATAAAAGTATATTTAATTTGATGGAGCACATAGACTGAATSAATTTTACACAAGAGATCCTAGTGATAACAATGTGAAATTGATTTTTTTTTTTCCCCCTCTTTACTGCTGTGAGATTATTCCTCTAGCCAAAAAAGCTCTGGGGATGAGGTGGAAGCAGCATGCACTAAGTGTCACCAACTCCTCACTGAAATGCACAAAGAAGTGTTGGGCTTGTGGATGTAAACTTTAAACGTAAGCACCATGCATTATATTATACGTTGCCTTGTTGTGCTTTGTTATTGCTTGTCTTGCTCTCGCTTCTTTGACTATGGAGAAAAGTTCTATTTGAAGAAGAGGAACTTCACAGTGTTAGAAAAACATCTTAAATATATGTTGGGGACAACCTGAAATATTAAATGATAGGACGTAATCATGCATAGATGCAGTTGCACAAAATGATTCACTTGGAGGGTGGACAGAGGAGGATTTACAGGACAGGAAAACCAAGGGGTTTATAATCAAGACCTGTGGGAGTGTGCAAGTCTGTTTAGAGGTTTTCCCAAAGAGCTGAGTGTAGGCTCTGGATTTGGTCTTCACCTGGGTTACATCTGTGACAGGACTGCCCAGATTGACAGTATGGTAGACTAGAGACTGGATGGAAATGTGCTCAYCTCCCTGAAACTATCAATCCCTTAGATGAAGAAAAGACAAAAATAAAAGCAGCTCCATCAGCTCTGGGCAAAGCAAAAAGTCATTCTTCATATTTTTCTGTTTATTACATATACGGCACTCCTTTCAAGGCGTTTCCTATCAAGCACTTTGTCTTGACAAAATTTCAAATAATGTTCCTAAATATCATCCTAAATATTTAATACAGCTGAAGTGAATAAATGTGAGTAGAGTTCGTGCAGTTTGAGACTCAACAGTGTAACCTTGACACCTACAGTTTCTGGGCCAAGCAGAATGCAAATGATCACCCCCTTCCTCTCCCTCTATTTCCATGAAATCAAGACTGACCTTTGTGCTTCAGGTGCTGGTATCGTTGCTTTCCTTTAGCTAAAGAGAAGAGGTGAAGAGGTAGAAATAAAATTAATTTACTGCTGAGATAAGAGGCTGCAGTTCTGCTTTCAAAAGAGCTACATTCTTCTGTATCAGGGGAGAATTTGTACTTGAAGCTTAAGAGCCATTTTGAAGATGAAAATGGGATTTCTGAAGATAGGTAAGTGTTTCCATGGACAAGTGGCTGATTTTATGGGGCTTAATGACTTGGCCTAGCCATGGGCTAGTACTTGGAGCTCCAAAATATTTGCCTGACTTGATTAGCTCCTGCACAGGTATTATTTATTACCTCCTGTGGTGCTGTGCTRGTTGCACAGCCTACATGGCAGCTCCTACATGCCCTCTCAGGCTGGGGAGCCAGGCCAGCCTGTGCTCTCACYGCTCTGGACGCAGCACAGTTGTTCCTGGGGGCCCTCACATCCTCCCTTGGAGCTGAGAACTCATGTTTTGCTCCCTCACTRTAGATGAGCAGATAAGAGACCAAAATTGTGACTATGTGCAGGGAAGTAACTTAAAGATTCACCTATGGGCTTGGCTTATGGCACCAGAGGACCATTCAATTCATTTATTTTACTGCATGGTACCAATAGAGTGGAAAAAAAGGTGATTATTTCATCTCAGATGCCCCAGCAACCAGTTTCTGTATCAACTTAATAAAGGGTAATTTTCCACAATTGTGTTCACAGATCTTGTTTTTCTCAGCACCTGCACTTTACGAGCATCCAGCTGCTTGTTCCCATCCACTTGTCTCACAGACCCCAAACTATCTGAGTTTAGCGACAGTCAAAATAACATCCAGACAACTACACCTGGATCCTTCCAGTCAGGAGAATCATTACAAGGGAGGYAGTAGTTTCCAGATAAATATCTCCAGGAATAATCAAGAGGAGAGAATGACTGAAGTGAGATCTGCTCCAAAGATAGGACTAGTGCAGAGGCACGTGCCTGTGTGAGCACCACAAGCACAAACTGTTGATCCAGGTCACATGAAATCGTTCGCCCAAAGTCTAGGCTAATAATTCAGATACCAGAGCACCCTTCCTTCTGAAAATTGCAGGTGAAAACTATTTTGGCTTTGAGCTCCCTTTGCCATGATCCAAAGGTACATTAAAGCAAATGCTTCTCAGGCTACTTAACTCATAAAATGCACATGTTGAAATGAATAAAGTGTTTTTCTCCTACCTGAAATATAGCAGTCCAGAGGAAGGGATAGGGAATAAAATTTGCTGTAAAGAAAAATGGAAAAAAAAAAATCCTGGTCATTACAGTACTTTGCTTTCAAACACACTGTCAAGCCCCTGGCTTTCAGTAACTGCTCACCTTCTGTTCTTTTTTATTATCAAGGAAAACAGAACAGAAACCTAATCCAGTAACAATCATCTAAAAACTCAGCACTCAGCTTTAGGGTGAGGCATAACCCAACATTTCTGTGCAGGAAAATATTGGAAAAGGAAAGACTATCACAAATAGTCTGCAAGTCCRAAGTCCCTGCTATGTACCTCAGGTTCCCACTAATTTTAATAAGCCTACAAAGAAGAAAAAGGGTAAAGAAGGCAACCATGGTGTATGTTAAATGCAGATGAACCAGCTCACATGTGCTTTTCCACACATTAAGTAATTATATACTAATATTATTAGTATTAATATATATTATATTGTGCACTCATGCTGAAAACACACTGAAAAATAATAAAAAGCAAAAAAAAAAAAAACAACAAAACCAAAACCTGATGAGGCTTTTGTTCAGTGCTGGGCATTATTTTTACTRCATTCATCTCTTCTGGGGGCCCAATGCTAAGTTGACATGAGGATTTCAGAAAGCTCCRCCTACTTTGAGTCAGACTCAAACAATTAGACTCAACTAAACAAAATCAGACAACTTAGTAAGACCCGTTAGGTTYACGTATAGATACAAAATTCAATGTAATAATTTACATTATAACAGAATACTATGTTTCCTTTTGCATTTGGGACYTAGGCTTACTGTTTTGCACACATCCATTTTTAACTTCAAGGGTTTGTCTTATTGAAGAGGCATAGATTTCTAACACTGAAAACCTATTATGCTCTTCTTCCTATATGTTCATGGGTTGAAATCATATTTTCCACAATGGCAGCCAGTGGCTGTAATTCCAAGGACCTCGTATCCTTGCCAAGCAAGGGTGAGAACAGCRTCAGCTGTACGTAAAAATTGTTATTAAGATAATGCAGACTGGGTAACCTAATTTCTACATAAGCTCCTCTTCAAAACCAGGAAGGCAGAGAAGAAGTACCAGTTAGAAAGCTGGATTTGTGCAGCCTCACACTCCTTTTCTCTGCAAGTCCTAGAAAAAAGCAGCTTTCTTAAGACTGACAAGAAKCTCTCCCTGTAGATACATAGAGCAATACAATTAGGCATGCCTACAGAAATAAAGTATCAGCACGTCCTTGCATTTAAAGATTCCTGACAGAGATTAACTCACTTTGTTTTTCAAATCTCCTTAAAAAAGATGGCTGCAATCTGGCTCTGAAGGTCAATAAACACGGGCTATTTTAGACCTACGCTGCAGCGACTTGCAGAGCCAAGGGCACTCACATTCTTTCTCTTTTGCTCTTGAAATCCTCCTCCAGTTTCAGCCCTGGCACAGAAGCCAGAGGAGCAGCCTGGCTCTCAAAGCAACACAATGATTAAAGCATCAAGGGATTCTATTGTAAATGTGGCAAGGGCATCCTCTGGGAGCAGGGCACGCACCTTTCCTGGACTAGGCTAGATTCGCCTCCATCGTTTTAGAGAAAGCCCCAAGCAGAGCTCTTTGCAGCAACCAAAACCTAAAGCAACTAGACCACAAAGGAAGGATTATTCCTACTTTGATTCCCACTTTTATTCCTACTTTTTATTACTCTGGAGAAGTAACAAAAAATATCTTACCATCTATCTAGAAATACAGAGAAGCTCCTAGCAGTTACTAGGCATCCACTGCAGTGCTCAAACTGAGACAAATGCCAGGGGAATGTCCTCAGCTAGGATAACGTTCCTCACCTGGCAAGCACTTCCCTTTAAGRTGCTACAGCTGACTTAACCCTCAGCTGGCCATGGTATCGGGGGAAGGCAGTGTAAGTCAGAATGAACRAGTGAACAGAGAAATGTAATAAATCAATAAATGTAAAGCTTTGAAGGAGGGGAAAAGTGTGATTCTACATACTAACGGCACCTCAGCAGACTTCATCATTAACSCTATCACGAGTTAATGTTCCTATTGCTCCTAAGCATTCCATATGGGACTGAAGCCTGGATTACCTGATGTCCCAGATACAGGGGCTAGATGACAAGAATGGAGCATGAGCTGGGCTCAGCGTAGAGCTGTGTACCACAGCACAGGGCCTGAAACAAGTGTCTATTAATACTGCAGAGCTCACCCAACCACAGCACAGCACGTACAAGCAGGCACCACTCTCTGGCTAATAGAAGTTGCTAAGGAAACCACTTAAAAGCCTGTTTTATAATATTTGCCGTGTAATCAAAAGCCAGGCTAATTTCCTGCTGCCAAATCAGAACTGCTCTTCCAAGGCCTTTAAAAATGTTCTTTAATCCTTAAATTATGTTAGTAGTTCCTCACAGCAGACAAAGGACCGAATTTGTACCTGGGGTATCAGCTTTGAAATGTCACTGAAATTAATGCACAACCATTTTTCCATTGCACAACCATTGCAGAGATCAGATTTTTCAAATGCGYATTTAAAATGCAAAGCTATAATTACCGACATCCTAGTGCTTCTGGTAAGCAGCACTTCTAATTCGGTGCTTCACACCGATTCGATCCCAAGGACAAATTCAAGTTGCACAGCCAAAGTGCTATAAACAGAGGATACCAAAGGCACAATGTGAAGGGCTAGAAATATTCCACTCCAACATGTTTTTTTCCCTCTCTGTTTAAAAGAACAGATGGTTTGCAAGGTGCACAAACAGAAAAAGCCTCTTTTTTTTTTTTTTTTTTTTTTTTCTCCCCAGGGGAATTGCCTATTTGCCTGAGTATCCAAAGCCTTTTGGCTTCAGGATAAGCAAAGCACCAAAGAGTGGGGCAGTAGCAGAGCTGTCCAGGGTTGGATGGCAGCTCTGCACGCCTCCCCCACGTCACCTCACCTAGTTTGGAGGAGCAGCTTTGGAAAACAGACAAGAAAAGCAACAGCTCGTGCCAGTTGTTTGAAGGTCAGCGCTGTGAGCTTGCACAATGTTTGTGACTCCTATTCTCCCAAAGCACGGGATGATTTTTGGTCTCTGCTGGTCTGCTAGTAAACCTAGAGAGTACAGAGAGAAAATAGTGAGGCTATAGATTACTGCATGCAAACTGTGAAGGAAAAAAAAAATAAATAAAGCAGAATGGGAGGGCAAGTGGTCAGGAATGTGATGGAGAAACAAAACCAGATGTGGTACGCCAGGAAAGAGTGAGAAATATAATCTTGTAGGAGCAGAAATTCCTGGGTAAGAGAAATGGAATCTAGAAAAAATAACTCATGTTCTAGGGAGGAAAAAAAAAGAGAGAGAAAGGTGAAAATAGCAGTCTGCTACTGAAAACAAATGTAGCATAAGGCAAATCTCTCTCCTTTGGTTTCTGAGGGTTCTCCCCCATAGGTCTCTAACCTATGGTCTCTGTCACTGTACCAATAGTGATGCAAGTTCTATAACTTCATGTCCTGTTTTCATCCTCTATAAATATCCCTGTGCTGGGTTGGGTACATTTCTGCACAGACCTCTTCTTCCCAGGAAAGCTGCCAGCYCTTTTCACGGTGCCACGGAAACTGCTTTCCATGGCGTGTTGTTTTCCAAGGGAAAACCGGAATAATCTTTAAGAACAGCAGATAGGTTTGCTATCCTCAGCAGACTCACAGGGTCAAATTCAGTTCTAAATGGCGAGTTGGACCCCATGCATCTGGAGAGCAGAGCGTTCTTGTCGGTGCTCAGTGACTGCTTTTTGGAGTGATAGATTTGAAACCCACCGGGTTTCGATTTCCAAGGTCTCACTCTCACACAGCAGGAGGTCAACAGGAGAGCACTTTCCAAATGTTTTTATAATGGGAGTAATCAGATTTTGTCCAAGATCAAAGTGTGGGGTGTGTGGCACTACACCACCCAAATGAGCTCTTTAAACTGCCATTTGGATATGTGCCAACAGAGGAGTCAGGGGTTTTGTTGTAGCTCTAGSTGTTTGTTTTTATTTTTCTCTTTTCCGTCTGCAGAAAGAGCTGTCCTGGAAAATATCCGCTATGTTAACCGCAGATTTATAATACTGAGGATAGAAACTCTCATACATACCTAATCTTAACATCTAAGAATGTTGTGGGGGGCTTTAATTTATATATATATATATATATA